AAGATGTCGAAGAGTCGTAGTGTATCATCCGAGATAGCCGCCTGCAGTCCAATCTATTTCACACGTTACCAGTTACGGAGAACTGGCAAATGCGCCAAAACATCGGAACAAAAAGAAATCTGTAGTGTGTTCATAGGTTGTGTGGGCATGTTACTTCCCGGTTGCCCTAACCGATGAAGAGGGATAACCTCGGGGTCCCCACCCGAAGCCTTTGGCTAGAAAGCCAGACCTGCAAGACAACAGGACGGAGCTCAGATTAAGCAGTCTATTGGAGGCTGATGTCCAGTTTATTGAATCATACGCCCTTTGGATGGGGTCAAACGTCCAAGGTGCCCAATCGAGCCGGTGACCCCTGTCCCAACCAAAAAGTTGGGCGTGTGGTTCGTTCGCCTCTTCTTGGTTAGTTTGAAATCAGGGTTTTTAGCCCTTTCCCCTAGGTGAACTGCCAATGGTTCATCAACCCACTTATAGCCCCGGATGTTGGGTTTTTGTCCCCTCAGTTTGGTGGGAAAACCCTCCGCAACGGGAAGGCATTGAGTAGGGCTTCTTCAACAGAGGGTTTTTGAGACGCTTTTTCATATATGAGCATTTCGCGAGGTGTAAGGGAATGGTGACCAGGCACACCCTGAGACACCCATCCCGAACGTACTGAAGCTTTCCGAGGCCTCCTTCAGTTGGTGCGCAGTCGCGGCTCCAGTTTGGAAGAAACCACGTGGAGGTTAACGGATGACGTGGAACCGAGGCTTGAAGAAATGAAGAGCCATTTGGTAGAATCGGTGTCTCACGTCTTCCAGGTTGGGGTCCGAAAGACTCTGCAACGGGTTAATTGGAGACATTGAAGAATATGGCGACAACAGTAGAGTTCTTGTTGTTATTTCTTATCAGGTCAGAATGCTTGAAAAGGGATGTATGTATAGTTAGGTTTTGCACTCTGTGCGTTGATCACAGAGGTTTACTTCGTTTGCCCCCCTGGTTTCGAACGATTTACTTAGCCCACCGTAGATCCTTACGCAACCAGAAGTATGCAGGTAGAGCGACCGCAATAGGTTTACATATTTCCGCGTCATTCCTTTGTGAAACAGCGACCCCGGAGTAGCTTCACGGTCAACTGAATCAAATGATCCTTTTAGGTCAAGGAACACCGCCATTGTTGGTCGACTATGTGTGTGACGCAATTTGATGACTTGACGCAGTCGATGCAATTGCTACCTGGTCGGAATCCGGCTTTCTGTTCACGGATCTTCATCTCCCTTAGGGGGGGGGGGCAGGTGACGAAGTATCACAGAAGTCAATACTTTTGTGATTATCGTAACTGAACTAATTCCGCGGTGGCTGGCGCAGTCGTTGCGTAATCCCCTCTTGAAGATCGAAACGATGAACGATTCACCCCAGGACAAAAGAATACGCTCCTCCGACCAAATGCTGCAAAGTAAGCTAGTAATTGAGTCAACAAGAGAATCACCGCCCACCTTGAAAATAATAGGGAGACGCCCATCAGGTCCCGCAGCCTTCCCTTTCTTTAATGATTGAATGCAGCTTCTTACTTCCAATTCCGATGGGGGCTCACATGTTACCACCTATGGGGTTTCCGCTGCAATTGCTGGAATGACCGCATTAGCACTGGGCCAATTGTTCACTAAAATACTGTGCTCATCGATCAAGTCTTTCTTTATTCTGGATGCTCTGTCCACTTTCATCGCAAATGGTATGGTATGCGACGACCTCCGGTGCTTCGTATCGGGTAAAACAGCCTTTGACCATTCCCTGATGCATAAGCTACCTCCATTTCATTAGCTATTTAAGCCCACCAGTTTTGGCGATCTTTCTTGAGGCTTTTCCTGGGTTCACCTTGCAGGCGCCATCGGTACCTATGCTGATTCTGGCAGATTGGAATCTTTCGCTTTTGATCCATCAGGGTTAGTGACTCCTGGGAGATCCAATGTCTTCGGTGAACCTCAGGCTTGGTCCCACAAACAAAGTTCGTAGCTGAGCGCATCGCAAGTTTAATCTGATTCCATTGTTGGTCTACTCCACTGTGTCGCGGTTCTGCTAGCTCCTGTCCTAGCTTCTCATGAAGTGTGCAGACAGATGGACCACGCAGACGATGATGAGCTGCCTAAGGAGGCGATTTCTTCCGGTGAGTAGAAGAGTGAAGCGTAACAAAACCAGTGCATGATCCGACTCAACGTAGGTGGTCCCTTAGAATCTGCATTGTTGTACTAAACCACGCCAACGGTAGCTTACGGCTATGTGATCAATTTGAGTCAACTTTCCAGTTGAACTAGAACGCCATGTGGCCGTTCAACGAGAGCTGTGTCGAAGGTTGATGCTAGATAAGAACAACCGATGATCCGCTCAGAACTGAAGTAGTCAATCACCGTTGTCTGTTCCCTGGGCGGAAAGAGCGAAATGTCCTAAACAGGCTTCGGATGCGCACAGTTTTCCATCCTGAGCGTCAAAATCACCTGCCAGCACTATAATATCAGAGTTGCAGCTCAACCGAATTAGTTGGGCGAGTTTGTCGTAAAATTCGTCCTTTTGTGAAGCGGGACTGCAGTTGGTTGGTGCATACGCGGAAATGATGTAAAAACACCTTTTGTTGTTGTCACCCTTCCGAACACTAACTGAACCCTGTAGCCTGATTGCGCACAGACGACTATTGCCTGGTATCCAATCTATCATAGAGGCTTCAGCTTTATCATTTAGTACGATACCTACACCACACTGACCCAGTGAGCGGGCTTCGTCGTCTCCTGATGTGCGAAGGAAATACCTCCAGAACAGACCCGGCGCACTCAGGTGACTTATAATACTAGGATCCTGAATTCGTGTCTCCGATACGCAACAGACATCGATTTCTAGAGACTGCATTGTACGCGCAAAACACGCCTATTGACCCACCTGCATAAAAGTCCTCACGTTGAAAGCTCTCTGAGAAGTTGACGAGGCTTCAGAATCTGTGGTTTATTTACAGGAAAACTAGTTACAGTGCTATCTGGCAAAGACCTTTGACGAGTGACGAACAAGTTGTCTGAGGGAAGATTACGGGTCGGAAGAAGGGGTAAAGGGATAGGGTTGGGTACGGAAGACAACGAAGGTTGGGATATCTGAGCAGTAACCCACTTGACACTACCCATCCCGCTCAATTCAATGGGCAGCGCGGTCCTGATTATCCTGCGCGACGACCGATGCAGTATGAAATTATTTTTTGTTTGTGTGTTCATTGGAGCTCTATGGACGGGTACTGCCAGGGTATCCAGCCACTAGGGTTCTCAACCAAGGCCTTTAGTTCTGACAAGAACCTAACCGTAAGACAGCAGTTAAGGTGGGTTGGAGGCCCATTAACTTGAATTAATTATTCCTCCAACACGTTTTATCGACTGATACGCTGATTCAAGTCGAACCCCCAACCTAGAGGACCAGGAGACTGGACTTCGTCTGACCTCTGCTCATTAACCTTCCAGGTATGATTAGATCTTTGGCTCGGTAAAAGCCATCCTGTGTGGTTCATTGGGTCACAAGCCATCACACCACGTCAATGTGCAGTCTCGTAATGGATAACAGAACTGAGGAAATGGTTAACACACGAACTGTTCTATTTGAAAGTACAGCACGGATTCCTCAAGAGTTGATCCCCTTTTGAACAACCTGCTATTGTTTCTAACTTACGTGATAAACGATTTGGACATGAGAGGAACAGTCGACGGACAAAATGCTTTCGATGTTGAAAACCACAAGCTTCTACTGCTCAAACTAGGAGACCACAACCCAGGTGTGTAACTGGATAGCTAGTTTACTCAGGGAAAAATTAGTTCTACAATCTCTCGTGAAGGAAAGGTGACTAGTAGAATCCTCCAAGGGTCAATTATAGGACCTCATATTTATTAAGGACCTTACTGAGAAAGTTGAAAGCCCTTTGCCTGATCTACGCAGACAAATTCAAAATAGCAAACTGCTCATTTGAACGGTACCGAATGCAATCAAAATTCGACAGGCTTTTCGCCTAGATAGTCAGGTGGGACCGACATTTGAGCGCAACCAAATGTTGCCTCCGAAAGTCTCAGTATTGTGAGGGTTGGGTTTATCGGGTTGAGGCTGGTTACCCCTCCCTTGCACCTCATGAAATGCTCCCATATGATCAAGCATCTCAAGTAGCCTCTGTTGAAGAAATCCTACTCACTGCCTTCCTGTTGCGGAGGTTTTTTCCCCATCTAAATGAGGGGACAAAAAGCCGAAATCTGGGGCTATAACCGAGTTGGTGAACCACTGGCAGCTCACCTAGGGGAAATGGCTAAAATCCCTGATTCCAAACCAACCAAGAAGGGGCGTACGAACCATGAGCACACCTGTCCGGTTGTGGCAGTGGTCACCGACTCGATTGGGCATCTTGACCTCGTCCGAAGGGCGTATGATCTGATGAACTGAACATCGGCTCCCAATAGACTGCTTAATCTGAGTTCCGTCCTGCTCTCTTGCAGGTCTGGCTTTCTAGCCAAAGGCTTCGGGTGGGGACCCCGAGGTTATCCCTCTTCACCGGTTAGGGCAACTGGGAAGTAACATGCCCATATACCCTATGAACACAGATTTTATACTTCCGAATTGTTCGCTCTCACGAACTATGCGCTCTTTGATCGAGGTGTTGGCGGTCGAATCCACAGATTTCCACGTTACCACACACCAGCAGATCACACTCTTTCCTTTCGTCAATTGTTGAACTTTCCTATTCTCGGTTTACCACCTATTATTTCGAGTCTCCAACGGTGTGTTGCTCAAGACAACGGCAAAAACCATAATCTTGTGCCCATGCGAAAGAAGAAATGTTGCATTCGGAGTAAAATGCTTCCGAATCTTCAGTTCGGTTTGGGCTCCAGAATAAAGAAAGTACCTTAATCGAACTTCAGGTTGATACCCAGACTGTTTTTGTCATAATGCTACTGTTTGTTAATTTTAAGCATGGACACATTCCTCATTCGTTCTTATTTCCATTTTGGTAGATCACAATGTTCACACCGGCACACCGAACGCGTGTTTTACTGTTTCTCTGGAGAAGAACATACTCATCTAGTCCGGGAAATAAAGCACAAGCATTTCAAAATTTGTTAGATCTCTGGCCACCGGATACCTGTAATCGCAAAATGACTTTCCAGGGTGAATTCGCCAAAAGGATCCAAAAAGTCATGTCCAATCCTTCGTCTCAAGCAAACCAGGCTCTCCTCGATCAAAGCGAGTTTGATAGCCTGTCCCGTATTCTCAGCAATTATCATCGCGATCGATATAAAATGCCCACTGGTTTGGGGCAAGCTGCATTAAACTCCAATGCACCTCGGATTGCGGCCACCGGGGCCGATCTTCTCGAATGTCGACGAATTCTGTCCAATCAAGACGAGTATCTCCGAAGGCGAGTGCCCATGAGAGAACGTCTTTGGACGGTGCTTAAACAGCTCTTTTGGTCAGATTCTGTGAAGCTAAATAAATCTGTATAGTCTAGGGTCTTTCGCATACTGTATTTTCACTTCATTTTCAGTATCTTCGAAACATAGCTTATCAGTACAAGGTAGCCTTTTGTATCATGCGTGTTGATGGTGCTGTGTAAAGACGGCAGTGACAATTTTATTTTTTCGGTCCGTTCTGTGAATGAGAGTAATAGTCCTGTTTCTGATGTCCCCAATTCAAAGGTCATATCATAACGCGGATTGCGACAGAGTAGCAAAAGGATATAAGCTGTTCTATTCAGANNNNCTCGGATTTGATGGTTGGTGGCCAAGAATTAGTCATGGTGGATTGTTTGTCCTACTTGGGTAGTTGCGTGACAAATAATGGTGGTGTAGTCAAAGAAGTAACCGCCTGCATTTCCAAGGTTAGAGTAGCTTACACCTTTGGTGCAGACTTGATCTTTCATTGAAACTGTAGGGTCGCATATACTGCGCCAGTGTGTAGTCAGTTTCGCTTTACGTTTAGGAGACTCTGAATTTGCGC